TTTTTTTTTTTTTTTTTTTTTTTTTTTTTTTTTTTTTTTTTTGAGACAGGAACTTGATATAGACCAGGCTGGCCTCTGTATCAAAGATCAGCCTGCCTCTGGCTTCCAGAGTGCTGGGATTAAAGCTGTGCTCCACCATACCTGGCTAGAAACATAAGTAATATTTTAAAGAGTGTTTTGTCTGGAAAACAAGCCAGTTTGTTATCCTTCAGCAAAATGAAGTAACATGAGTTAAGATTGCTTTTCATAAATTAATCAGGTAGACGTGGGACTTCATTTCTTTTCTGGGGAGAGTAGTGAAGGGAACCAAAAGCCTGGCCAGGCCCCCTGGACTGTTGATCACTGCTTAAGTGCTCGTTTTGTCTTACAGTGGGAAGTTGCTGAGGTTGTTTTGGAGGTGTTTCATAAACTGCTAAGAGATTATGAACCTCAGCTTGAAGATTTTGTAGACCAGTTTGTGGAACTACAAGGTAACATAATTCCTTCACTTTTTAAAATATCTATGATTTAGAATATGCATATAAAATAAAATGTAAGCTAAAATTTATAAGATAAATAGAATTTAAGCTTTGCTTTATTGTTTTAATCATTTCAATTATTCTGTTCAAGAGAGAAAATAAGATTTTGCTGAGTAGAAGATTAAAATACCTACATTATGGATTCTTCCAGGAATTAGTTTATACTAGGCACCTGGCCTCCCTATATATTGATACCCAGTGTTTGTGTCTCTTTTGAAACTTGCCTTTAACTGTTTTCATCCCATTTAAGTTACAATGTCATACATTTAATAATATAAAGGATATGACTAAAACATTGATTCATGGGCCCACTGGTGAGTTACCTAAGTGGGTTGAGATGCCTGTGCCAAGCCTGATGACCTGCGTTAGTTCATGGGACCCATATGATAGAATGAGAGAATCAGCTCCTAAAGTTGTCCTCTAACTACACAGAGACACAAAAAATAAGTTTTTAAAATGTTTTTGAAAAAGACTTGATTTGCTATCTTTGGGATGATGTTATGTTCTGTTTAGGAGAGGAGATCATAGCTTATAAGCCACCTGGCTTCAGTCTGATGTATCATCTTCTGAATGAGTCACCCATGTTAGAACTGGCACTCAGTTTACTGGAAGAAGGAGTGAAGCAGCTCGATACCTATGCTCCTTTTCCTGGTAAGTGCCTAGAAGTCTTGTTTCAAAAAAAAAGTATTTTTTAAAAATTTTTATGTACATGATTGTATGAGAACACCTGTGGAGGCCAGAAGAGGGCTTCGGGTCCTCAGGAACTAGAGTCATGGATGGTTGTTAGCTGCCACATGGGTGGTGGGAACTGAACCTGGCTCTTCTGGAAGAAAAGCGAGTGCTCTTAACGGCTGAGCCATCTCTCCAGCCCTATCTTGAAAGTCTTTATGCCTTGAAAACTGTTGATATTTTCATCTTTAAAAACTGAGAATGTAAAATAAGTGATCTCTGAAGCTCTTTTTCACTGAGTCTCATACCTATAATTTTCAATTGTCATTATAAATGAGAGTTCTTAACAGTGAAAATAGAGTAAGTTACAGAGACTCTAATTCACTGTGAACCTTATCTCATCACAAGGTCTTCTGTAAGTAATGAAAATTATCTTTCATATCTTTAACAAGCCAAACTTTTTATATATAATCCTATATTATTTGTAAAAGCACTTGCTATATAGAGTCTGGAATGTAGTGTTCAGTAAACTTTAATATCATTACCATTAATTACAGCTTATTGAGTACTCTCTAGGCAATTGGCTCTTAAAAGTATATCACCTGTAGTAATACATTTAATCTCTACAAAAGTCTTATGTGGTAGGTCTTATTTCCTTTTAACAAAATGACACACAAAGAGGTTACATTGATTTTCTTCAATAAGTGAGAGCTGGGATTTGATTTAGGCACTTAGGCCCCAGAGCCCATACCTTATACCACTGTGCTGTATTGTCTCGAATGTGACAGTGATCTAAAAAAGAAAAGCCAAATTCTAAACAAAGGATTCTAAATGTATAATTCACATATATAAGAAACTGTGGAAAGAATTAGGTTCACATTTTAAATATGAATGGTTGGAATATCAGGCGAGCCTTATATTTTGTATTTATTTTCCATAGTGATTACATCTTACTTGAAGTCATTTTCTCACCCTAGGCACTAACTGGCAGTTTAGGTTGAAAATTTCTTCACAGTGCGTGCTGTACTGTATGCTGTAGGCTTCTGTCTACTGGATGCCAGTTATACTTTTCCAGTTAGGATAAGTAGAAGTGGTTATAGGTGTTGTCAGCTGTTCTTTGGGGTCAAATCACCCCATTCTGAGAGCTGTTACTCTAAAGGATCATGGGAAAGTTAAAGGAGAAGCTAATTCATGTTAGAAACCTGAGTCAGAGAAGTAACTGATAATATGTAGTGACAGTGATGTGAAGTTGCTGTTGGAAGTCTGAAAAGACAATGGCCTTTCAAAACGAAACCTTGTTTGTTAGCTTCTTTTCTCTAAGCATTTGCTATAAGTTTCCAAGATTCATTTAGATTCTAACTTCGTTTGGGGGTTATAGGAAAAAAACATCTGGAAAAAGCGGTACAGCATTGCCTCGCACTTCTTAATCTGACACTGCAAAAGGAAAATCTCTTCATGGATCTTCTCAGGGAGAGTCAGCTGGCTCTCATAGTCTCTCCTTTGGAACAGCTGCTGCAGGGGATTAATCCCAGAACTAAGAAGGCAGACAACGTGGTCAGCATTGCCAGGCAAGTTACGTTTGTTGGTAGACAAATGAGAGTAGGGATCTCAGGGGCATTCTAGTTTTTATTTCTAAACTTGTCTCATATTTAAATATACCACCGATTATTGTAGTTTGGCCTGCTTTTAATTTTGCCTAATTTCACTCCTTTGATTTTATTTACTTTGAGATTTCCCATGTCTTCTTTTTTCCTCTTCTTAGTTCATCCTGTGTCCTAGAAGTTTCTAAATCTGTAATGAACATTGTTTGTCTCCTGTAGGGAAACTGAGAGTTTTTGGAGGGGTTAGGTAGCAACCCCTGTCCCTGTATTTGTGCATGTATATACATGTGACTACATGTATGTTCTAGCTGCTTCTCTATTGCTGTGACAAAATACTCTGACCAAAACCAACTTGGGGAGGAAAGGGTTTATTTGGCTTATATCTCCTGGGACACAGTTCATCATGGAGCTCAAGGTAGGAACTCAGGGCAGGAACCTGGAAGCAGCTGGAGCACAGGCCATGGAGGAACACTGCTTACTGACTTGCTCCCTGGCCCCTGCTCAGTCTGCTTTCTTATGCAACATAGACCCACCTGCTCAGGGGTGGCACCACCCACAGTGGGCTGGGCCCTCCCACATCACTCAACAATCAAGAAGATACCCCACAGACATGGCCACAGGCCACTCCAATGGAGGAAATTCCCCAGCTGAGGCTCCTTCAACCCAGGTGTGTCAAGTGACACTAAAGTTATCCAGCACAATGTATCTAGTGACTTGGGGTAGCTTGTAGCATCATTGGCTCATCTCTCTCTCAGCTTCATATGGTGATCCCTGGGTAGGGGGCTTCTATCCAAATCTCCCCTTTTGTAAAGACAGTCATTGTATCCTCCTTAATAACCACATCTGTACTTGACATGCTATGTATGCAAAGACTTTTTTTCGAAGTAGGGTCACTGGATTGAGACCTCAACATAGGCATTTTGGAGGGACATGATTCAGCCTGTAATAGACTTTTTCTAGTTAGAAAGGGAAATCTTCATCTTACAAAACCAGGCTCTATAACTGAGAACTGCCCAGAGGCTTCTAGAACAGGAGAGGCAAGGGGGTAAGCGGGTTCTAAGACAGAAGTCTCCCCTTCTACCAAGGGTCCGACGGGAACTAGGACAGGAAAAAGTTCTTAACTTACTCTGTGGAAGCACCAGGATCTTGCTGTTGATGGCACACCAGCCAATCGGGTGGACATCCACAGTTCCCAGGTTGCACCAGAAGTCATGACTGGCATCATTTTCAAAGCCTTCATATCGGAGCAGCACCCGATACCCTGAAAGGAATGACAAGGAGCCCCATGAGGAGGGTGGGATGGGAAAGTCTGTTCTCAGCCTTCCCTCTTCTCTAGCCTCATCCATCCTATTTCCTGTTCCAGGAAGTCCTTCAAGTGGGTGAACTTCCTAATGTACACACAAAACAAATCTATGCCACTTATTTAGAAAACATTCTAGCACGGCGATAAGATTTTCTATACCTTTATCATCTCTGGAATAAACTACAGTTTACAAATTTAAAAAAAAAAAAAGGAGGGGGGAATATTTTTCTCATTTGCCCAAAACTGCTGTATGAGTAGGTGAATGCTTTTTTAAATTTTCTTTGTTGAGAACAGTGAAAAGCCAAGTTTCATCACATCGTTCTTCAATGTTTTCGTGTTCTAAAGGTATCTGTATCATGGGAACACTAATCCTGAGTTGGCATTTGAGAGTGCCAAGATTCTCTGCTGTATCTCCTGCAATTCTAACATTCAGATCAAAATGGTTGGTGATTTCACACATGACCAGGTAACTGATTTTGTTGTTGTTTATTTTTATGTGTATGAGTGTTCGCCTGCATGTATGTATGTATGTATGTATTTGCATCATGTATGTGTCTGGTACCCACAGAGGCCAGAAGAGGGCATTGAATCCTCTGGAACTGGAATAACGCATGGTTGTTAGCCAGCATGTGGGTGCTGGGAACTGAACCCAGGTCCTCTGTAAGAACAGCCAGTGCTCTTAACTGCTGAGCCATCTCTCCAGCCCTTGCAATATTTTAAAATAGAAGATATTTTGGCAGCTTGGATTGGATAGACCTTTGCTTTTTTGTTTTAAATATTCATTTATTTTGTGTGTGCGCACACGTGTAGGTTAGAGAACAATTGTTGGGAGTTAGTTCTTCTACCACATATGCTCTGGAGATTGAATTCAGGTCAGCAAGATTGATGGCAAACATCCTCACCTGCTGAGCCGTGTCACCAGCCTCCAGGATCTTCAGTTTGTGTGTGATTATTTCTCAGACGATAAAACCTTTAACATCATTGAATCTTCTCCCACTGTGTGTCAGTAGTAAACTCTAGTTGTAACAACTCAAAATGGCCTCACATCTTCATAGGTGCCGTCTAGAATGATGGCACTGCCGAGATTGAAAACCACTGTAATTAATAGTATGGCCTCTGGATTCTGGGGTGTTTTTTTAAAGACAGGAAACTGGCTAGGTGGACTAAGCTGGCTTAAAATTTACTGTCTGCTTCTTCTGCCTCTTGAGTACTGGATTACAGGTGTAAGCTGCCATGTTAAGCTCTGATGTTTAATATAAATTGTTACTGATTTGAACATCCTGCTATCTGCCAGATTTTCCCCTCCTTCCCTCCTTTTTCTCCCTCCCATTAAGATCATCTTGTCTCAGTCTCCTGAGTTCTCAGATTACAGGTGCATGCCCCCATGCCTACTTATTTCTATAAAAAGCTGATGTATGGCAATTTAAAAACCTAAGTTTTCTATTCATTAAAAGCAACTAAAATCTAAATACTTGGAGCATATTTGCCTTTGTTTTTACATATGAAAATTTGTATTTATTGTTGATTATCTAATATGTAGAATGTTTTTATTAATCCATTGTTTTTCTGTCTTTGTGACTTCAGAATGTGAGCCAGAAGCTGATGGCTGGATTTGTGGACTGTTTGGACAGTGAAGATATGGAAGAATTTGTACGTGTAGAAGAGGGTATGCCTTAGGTCAACATGCATGATTTTAACTTATGTACATATGTAGTATAGAGAAAGTGCTTGAAATCCTTATTAGTCTAGTGTTGATGTAAAGAGAAATTGAGATTTTGCTAGAATGAATGTATAAGAGTGTTAGGATTATTTAAATCAAGCCAGTGTAATGACGACAAGAATAAAGTTAATGTGGAACTTTTTATACATGCTTTTTATTTTTAAATTTGACATATGTCACCTTGTATTGATTTGTGATTTCCACTTTCAGGTTCAGAGACTGAAAAGAAGTTAGCTGTAATCCGTCATGAAACAAGAATCCACATTTTGAATCTTCTCATCACATCTCTGGAACGCAATCCACCCAATCTTGCTCTCTACCTGTTGGGCTTTGAATTGAAGAAACCTGTCAGTACCACAAACCTACAAGACCCAGGTATAGTCGCAAGACACAGGGACATTTATTTCTTACATGTTCGTCTATGTAAGTGGTCATTTATTGAGTACTGCTTTCACAATGTAATTTATTGAAAAAAACGACCCATGAAAGGTAGTGTGGTGGGTCAGTCTTTAGAACCTAGGTTTAAACTGTCTAAACAGATTTAGAGGGTTGGCATTTGTCCATTTTCCGAATCAGTAATTGGAAGAGTGTTCACATTTTTACAGAATTTGATTTTTGTAAAGGCAGTCTCAGGTTTCTGATGCAGAAATTCTGTAGGAAAAGTTGAATTTCCTTTTGGTTTCATGCAGGAGTGTTAGGCTGCCCTCGGACGTGCCTGCATGCCATCCTCAACATCCTGGAGAAAGGGACGAAGGGGAGAACTGGCCCTGTGGCAGTGCGGGAGTATCCTCAGCTGGCTGAGCTGTGCTACCAGGTAGGCAGAAAGACAAAACTCTGTAGAACTGAGAGTAGACAATGAAAAAGTGTGTTTAGCACAGAGTGACAGACATTATCCAAATCAGTTCATGTAGTAGTTTGCCCAGTCTTTGATTTATGGATAAAATCCATGAAGCGTAAACATTCAAATCCTGTAGACCTAAAGATCCTAACTGTCAGAACCTGGACCATTAGATATTTTGGATGAATTTTACCAGTGGTGCGATATTTAAAGTAGCTCTTTTGGGGGCCTGAGCAGTGGCTTTGGATCAGAAGAGCTCTAGTTGCTGTCTGCTCCTGGCCAAATTACCTTTTGCATGCTCCGAAGTGTCTCCAGTTTTGAGCTTTTTAGTCTGTGAAATGGATTGTTGAGACTTAGAGAGGAAGGAAAAGCACCTTTGAAGAACCAGGTGAATTTTGAAGTCCTTGAGGCATGTGAGATGGTGCAAAGTCTGATCAAAGTTTGAGTTTTGATGAGGATTTTGACTTACTGTGTTTATGTCTTGTTTTCATTTTAGAGGTGTTCTAAGGACTAGACTTTATAATTTGTTACTAATTTCTCAATGTAAATGCACCGTCATTCCCATTTTTAATGCACATACCATGGCACTCATGTGAAGGTCAGAGGGCAACTTGTGGTCTGCTTTCTTCTTCCATCATGTGGGCCCCAGAAATTGAGCTAAGTTGTCAGGCTTGGCATCACTGAGCCAGCTCACTGACTCCTAAACATTTTTCTAAATCAAGAAAGGTATAAACCTATATATGGATAAAGTATCTTTTTTTTTTCTTTCTTTTTTTGTCTTTTTGAGACAGGGTCTCCCTGTAGCTCCAGCTGTCCTGGAACTCACTATGTAGACCAGGCTGGCCTTGAACTCTCTGAGATCTGCCTGCCTCTGCCTCCCGAGTGCTGGGATTAAAGGCGTGCACCACCACGCCTGGCTTATTTTTTAAAATATTTATTATTTTTACTTTATGTGTATGAGTGTATTGCCTGCATGTATATGAGTGCACCCGTGTTGTGCAGTGCTGTGGAGGTCAGAAGAGGGCTTTGGATTCCCCTGGAACTGGAGTTAAGGATGGTTCGTAGCCGCCATGTGGGTGCTGGGAATCCAACCTGGGTCCTCTGCAAGAGCAGCCAATGCTCTTAACCTCTGAGCCATCTCTCCAGCCCTTTATTTATTATTTTTATTTTATATGTATGAGTGTAATGCGTGCATGTGGGTGGGTACACCTGTGTTGTGCAATGCCTGCAGAGGTCCGAAGAGGGTGTTGGATCCCCCGAAACTGGAGTTACAGATGGTTGTTAGCCACCATGCGGGTGCTGGGAATCAAACCTGGGTCTTCTGCAAGAGCAGCCAGTGCTCTTAACTACTGAACCATCTCTCCAGCTCCTCGTATTTTTCTTAAGAATATTTTTTCTGGGGCTGGAAGACCTGAGTTCCCTTCCCAGCACCCATGTAAGATGGTTCATAACTGTCATGGTGCAGTGACCACAGTTCAAGCCTGATGGGCTTGGGGACCCTGACGGATATAAATCAAGACACCAGAGATGCAGAGGTTTAGATGCCAGTGCATGTTTATTATGAACTAAAGCAAGCTTATATAGGAATCAGATCTGGAGTAACCAAGGAATAACCAAGGATAACTAAGGATACATCACTAACAGAAAGTAACCAGGGAATAACCAAGGATACAGTGCGTAACTACATTACCTCACCAGCTGAAACTCACATGAAGTTTACAGTATCCAAGATTGGCTATGATTACTCTTAGCAACTACTATAATTCAATAATCATACATAGAAACCAAGCTATCAGTGCTGAGATACTCTGGTGCTTTAGTTACAGAACGCTTTAGTTATGTTTCCAAGACTGTCAATTAATCAGAGAAGCATAGCCTGTCAACTCTGACCACAGAAGCAGAGATCAGGGAAGCTCTTAAAGTGGCAGCATTCTTTCTTCAATGCTTAAGTCAAGGCAAGCTGCCACAATCTAATGCAGCAATGGCTATGCTAATAGTAAAGCTCCCAACATTTCCCCCTTTTTTATTTGTTAAATGCCAAGTTCAGGATGGAAAGACCGTGCCTGTCTTAGGTCGCCCTCTGCCAGAGCAAAGCCCGTAGGTTGATTGGCCGGTGATCTGCTCTGCTCTGAGAAGGTCTTACCCGTCGCTGACTAACCGGCCTCCAAAAAGCTCCCTTCATTGGCTACCAGCCAATGGGGAAGGAGCATGCACAAAGCCACAAGAAAAATATAAGAAATATATCTGGTATCCTATGCCAAGTTTCAAGTCCCAGGTCAAACTGAATTGATCAGGCCATAACACATAACCATCTATTACCCTAGCTCTAGGATATTTACTGCCGTTTTCTGGTACCCACATGCACATGTATCCACACATACACAAGTAAAAATAAGATAAATCTTTAACAAAATTTTGTGTGTGTGTGTGTGTGTGTGTGTCTGTGTCTTTCTGTTTTGGGCCAGCAAGATGGCTCAGCTTCCTGTCAAATCTGACTATTGAGTTCAGTCCCAGGAACCCACATGGTGGAAGGAGAGAACCAATTCCACAGAGTTGTTCTCTGACCTCCACATGTGTGTCTTGGCACATGTGCCCACACATACCATGGGTGAGCACTTGTGCGCATGCGCGCGCGCACACACACACACACACACATACACACACTCTCACTAAATAAGAGATTTTTGGCAGAGATATGCAGTCATTTTTTGGGGTGTGTTTTATGGTCACTGTGAGCACTAACTGGCAAAGTCCTAGACTGTGGTGCTTAGGCAAAATTCATATTTAGATTCCTGCAAGTCCTTGTTCCCAGCATTCTTATTAATTGGTAACCTATAATCTTATTTTGTTTATATTTCAGTTAAAAGTATCTTATGTAATACATATTGATGCTTCATTAATACTGAGCTCGGGAAGACGGCACTGTAATCAGGCTTGTATGGAGTTTACTAACAAAGATTTTCTCTGAAAGGCACTTTCATCTCACAGCTTTCTTGTTTTTTAAAAAAAATACTCATTTTTTAATTACATTTTATTTGTTTTGTGTGTATCTGCACGTGTGCATGAATGTGGACACACATGTGATACCATATGTGTATGGAGATCAGAGGACAACTTGTGGGAGTCTGTTCCTCCTTCTACCATATGAGTCCTGGGGATTGAACTCAGGTCATCAGGATTGGGAACAGATGCCTTTACCCACTGAGCCATCTCACTGGTCCTTAGTTTTGATTCAAACAGCAAAATTACTAGTTAAAAGAACAAAGCTATAAATGTGACAGTAACTAGTCTATAAAAGACATCGTTATTTGTAGTAAGAGATTTGGAATGCAGTGGAAGAGCATTGCTTTGAGTCCATATGAGTTGGGCAGCTGGAATTTTCACTGACTACGTGAATAACCACAGAAGAATTTTGAGCACTGATTTCAGGACTACAATCAGTTTTAGCAGTTAGGCAGGTTAGCAATTACGGAATTTGTAAATGGTAAGTATTAATAAGTCTGGTCATATGATATGTATATATATATATGATATATATATATATATATCATATATATATACACACACACACATTTGACTTATATGTATGAGTCTTAAATTTTATTTATTTTTACTTTTTTTTAACAACTTAAATAACAAATTCCAATTTTATTTATATTTCTCTTTGTATTTAACACAAACAATAAGCCTCATTTCCATAAAGCAAGTGAACTTTGGCTGTGGTTCTCTGCTAAGAAATAAAACCCGAGTATGAAACTGTGTATTTTAATAATGAAATGGAGATCTTTTTTAAAGGTTAAAACCTCATTTTATTTTATGTCTTATAGGGTTTATACTGAGTACAATGTTGTATAACTGTAATAATTCTACTGTAAACCTAAAAATTTACAGCCAATTTTTAGGTTTACAGTTGAATTGTTACAGTTATACAATATTGTACTCAGTATAACTGCAATAATTAAATGCTTCTTCTAAGTATGTGGTTATTGAATAAATAATTTAAAAAAGAATGATTTACTAAATAGACTTCTATTCACAGTTTCATAGTTAATGTGTATTTATTTTTACTTTTATGTGGATGAGTTTTACCTGCATGCATGTACTTGTATCATGCAATGCCCTTGAAGGCCAGAAGAGGGCGCATTGGATCCCCTGAAACCAGAGTTTCAGATGGTTGTTAGCGCCCACGGTGAGTGCTGGGAACTGAACTGGCATCTTCTGCAAGAGCAGGTGGTGCTCTTAACTGCTGAGCCATCTCTCCAGCCCTGAGCCCCTATATATTTTAAAGAAATGTATTCTTGCTTTGTTTCCCAGGCTAGACTCAAACTCCTAGGTTCAAGCTGTTCTTTTTCCTAGCTTTCTGGAACTACAGGTATTCAGCCATCAAAACTGGCTTAATTATTTAATGACTATAGATGGACTCTTTATTATAAATTATTTTCAGTTTTCTTATTTTTTGCCATTTTGCCTATTTAGAAATGGATAGTCCTACATAATGGTTTTGTGTGCGTGTGTGCGTGTGTGTGTGTGTGTGTGTGTGTGTGTGTGTGTGTGTGTGTGCTATTCATTTTTTCTTTTTTTTAAATTTGGCTTTTTTAATTATGAAGGCTAGGCTGGCCTTGAACTCAAAGAGATCCTCCTGCCTCTGCCTCCTGAGTGGAGCTATTCAATTTTTCTTATATTGGATATTAAATGCTTTTCCCCCCAATATTTTTTTTTCATTAAATTTTTATTTAGAGCTTGTATTTGTTATATAGTTGCTTACAAATCTTTGTGGTTTTGCAATTGCTTCAGTTCTAAAGATAATATATTTTATTATCTTTTAAAAGTAGAGATGAGAGGAAGAAATGATCTTCTTTAAGGGAGTGACTCTAGATAGGCACAGTGGATGAACTTGCACTGAGGGACATCAGAGAAGACTAACTTGACTCAATAGGCCTTAACATAAATGATAGAATACATGAAATCTGGTATGGGGGAGTGGAAGCTGAGAGGATGCTGATGTATAAAGAGGACTAAGATGTTGTGTGTGAAATACACAAAAATTCAATAAAAAATATTTTTTTAAAAAAGCAGAGGTGGGGGCCTGGAGAGATGGCTCAGCAGTTAGGAGCACTGACTCCTTTTGCAGAGGACCCAGGTTCGAATCCCGGCATCCACATGGCAGCTAACAACTGTCCATAACTCCAGTCCCAGGGTATCCAACAGCCTCTTCTGACCTCCTTGGGCATTGATTGCATGACATGGGTGCACTTACCTACAAGCAGGCAATACACTCATACACATAAAATTAAAAATAAAATAAAATACTAAAAAAAAAGTAGAGATGAAATAGCTATTGTTTTCAGAAGTGACTACCTAGTAATAACTAATAATAGTTAAAATATTAAGCTTATTAATTAATTTTGTGCATATATTAATAAATTCATTTAGGATGATTTCAGTCCTGTGTCATATGAAACCTTTTTTTTGGATGGGTCTTGTTACATAACCCAGACTAGCCTTGAAGTCAGGATCCTCATGAGTTCTGGGATTACAAACTGCCTCTGGCAATGTCAGCACTTTTAACTGTGTTTCATTGTATTTTCTTGAGCTAGGATGCCAAGGACCTGGATTTGGAAATCTAAACATGTTTATTTTATACATATGATTGTATATTTGTTGGAGTTGATGATGCATCTTTATTTTTCATGCTCATATTTTGTTACTTGAAAGTCGGTACTAAGATTCAGAGATTTTCTTTTATTTCACTAGGTGATATACCAGCTATGTGCATGCTCTGATACATCTGGCCCTACTATGAGGTATTTGAGAACCAGCCAGGATTTCTTATTTTCCCAGTTGCAGCATCTACCTTTCTCTAACAAAGGTAGGACATTATTTTGCTTTGTTATTGCAGGTTAAGTATTTCTTATCTGAAATGTTGGTACAAGAAGAGTTTAGAGTTCTAGTTTGTGTTTTGTTTTCTTATTTGTTTTTTGAGACAGGGTCTCCCTATTGCCTCAGCTGGTCTGGAACTCGCTGTGTAGACCACACTAGCCTCTATCTTACAGAGATATTGTTCTAGTCTGCTTTCGACTGCTATGACAAAACATTCTGACCAATACAACTTGGGGAGGAAAGGGTTTATTTGGTTTACATCTCCTGGGTCACAGTTTATCACTGAGGGAGCCCAAGGTAGGAACTCAGGGCAGGAACCTGGAGGCGGGGAGCTAAAGCACATGCCATATAGGAACACTGCTTACCAGCTTGCTCCCCTGGCCTCTGCTCAACCTGCTTTGAGACAGGGTCTCCCTGTAGCCCCAGCTGACCTAGAACTCACTATGTAGACCAGGCTGGCCTTGAACTCACAGAGATCTGCCTGTCTCTGCCTCCCCAGTGCTGGAATCAAAGGTGTACGCCACCACGCTTGGCTCAGCTCGTGGTCTCTTTTTAAAATTACACCCAAGGCCAATTCAGACTCTAGATCAGTTGTGGGTGTCATGACTGCCGACTGTGTGGCGTGATGAATGGGGTCATGACTACGTGACCAGGTGGTCCTAGTGACAGGGTGTCTGCTGCTCTTTGAGGGGCGACTGACAAGAGCCTTGTTCAAAATCCTGGTCAGAGTGTTAAAGCCTTTATCAGAGGGGAGATATTTGGAGCTGTCCTCTGTGAAAGTGGCTGGAACAGAACTGAGAACACTGTGTCTACTTCAAAGCCCCTGCCTTGAAGGGCTCTCTTTATTTCCATAGCTGTGCTAATGGGGTGGCTCAGAGGTTTTTAGATCTGGGGAAATTTTTCAATAAATCTAGATAGATGATAGAGTAATAATTCTATGTAATTAAAAGTGG